AATTAAATATTTATTCCTTTAAAACTATAACTAGAGCACGAAAATACATTTCTACCTCCCACAGCTTTTGTCAAGCTGTCAAGTTCTCCATAGCTTGGTGTTAACTGAGTCATAAAGGGAAAAATATCTAAAGCAGGAGAAATGTGTGAACCCTTGCTTGAGGATGCACTTGGTCATTCAGTGAGAAACCAGAAAAATTCTTGACTATTCCTAATCTCTGCAGGTACAAGTCAGCAGCAAGCTCGGTATGTGCTTAACTTCCAAGCAAATAAATGCTTGAATTCACTGCTAAGATGACATGGGATAATCTGTCTGTCCTTGGACACAGCTTCAGCTGTGACCTTTCTCTTCTGGACAAACTACTGACGAGGTTCAAACCAAAAAACTTCTCTTTCTCTATTCCAGCTTCCTTCTTTCTACGCACATATTCATCCTCTGCCTTGCAAAAGTAACTGAACAACCCAATGTGATCTGAAACGTTGCTTGAAGGCATATTTATAAATAAAGTGAAAGGAGATACATTGCCTTACTTCCATTATAAGTCTTTAATTTAGATTCATACTGGGGGGTTCATTTAAAAAAAAAAAAACCACAACTCACTTGGTTTTTGCTTGAAAATCCCATTGAAATCTACATTTTTATATGCAGAAATGTCATTTTAAGCCTATAAATATACATCCTCTTTATTAAACTCGAGTTTCATAGACACACAAGAAACTTGTTTTGGCCAGCTTTCATGTGGAGATATAAAACAATGTGCTAGATATAAAAATATCCACCCAGTATTTTTGTCTTTGTGGGATTGTTTCCCACTGCATTTCTACACCTTGGTCCACCCTTTTTAAAAAGAACTGAACTATTGATCAGTATTTCACACTCTAAAGACACAGTAGCAAGAAAATACTGGATCAAAGTGAATCTGTGCTGAGCTTTATCCCCTGCTTCCTTATTATCAAAGTATTTTTTCAACTTTAAGCATATGAATACTATCATTTATATGCAGCCAAGCACTTAAACTCATGTATAAGTTTAATGATGTCATTGAGATCACTGGGGATTAAGGATTAAAAAATGTTATGTATGAGTAATGTACTAAGTTATTTTACTACACTCAGGTTTCATTTCTTTGTCCCATCCAAAACATCTATTCCTTTCTAGTAATATGCCTTGCTCAATAGCTCCTTGACTACTAGCTCCTTGACCTAAAACACATATTTAGCTATTTTAACTCTTCTTCTCACTTTCAAATTCTTAATTTAATAAATAAAGCAACAAGAAATCTTAGGAAAATTATTTTAAAAGTTATCTAAAAGTTCTCAGGCTTTCTGTTTTCTCTGGCTTCTTAATTCAGAAATAGGCTGCTGTTCTTGCTGAAGAAGTATGTTCATAAACTGAAATATTCTGCTAGCCCTTTTTCCATATTTTATTAAGATGGGAAGTAAGCCAAACCCCTTTCTCTAGCCTTCTCCTCATGGCTGGAGGTCAAAAGATACAACCATTTCTGGAAGAAGCACTTGGGCTTCTAGTTTCTCCTAGAGAAGAAACAATTCCTGGCATGTGAATAACAAGAAGAGTGACCACAGCACGGAAGACCACACCAGGATAGAAACTGCCCCTAGCTCAAGGATGCCTGCCTGACCTCCATGCTGATCTTCAAACCAGTCATTTGTTGTACATTCATCTGCTGGAAGCAAATAATTATTTAAAAATAACTAAATTCTGTCATCAAGAAACATATAATTGTAATTTCTAGAAACAGCTTCTCTTGCATCGTAGGTACAATTTGAAGAGAAAATTTTCAAGGTTGTATGTATACAGGAATATGTATGGTAGCCTTATATTTGGCTTGTGAACAAAGGTGATAGTCACGAGAAACAGACGCGGCTTTCCGATCGAAGGTCGTGGAGGTCCAGCAGTTCTTCATTACACTATGCTGGTGATATGAGTCCCTTTACACCAGTGGAGGACTGGCTGGAGTGAACATTTCCAAAATCCACACACGTTATTTTATGCCTACCCTTTCTATTAGACTTAAATCTAGATCTTTAAGATCTGCAAGATTTCCAGATGGAAAGTCTGTGGGATGAATCCTTGGATGGTGTAGTCAATGGAATTATTGTGGCAACGATATTGTGACATTGTGAAAATGAATTCCACAATTTACTGATTTAAAAAAAAGTATTTTTTTTATTATTGAACTTGCTGTTTGATAATTCATTGTCACCCCTAATTTTTGAGTTATAAGGACCAGTGATTACTTGTTCTGTATTTATTCATCTCATAGCTTCGCTATTGATGACCCTGAAGAAAATGGAGACTCTTACCTTATTTAGTCTTTCCTTATACGAAAGCAGTTCCAGACTTTGTAATCCTTCTCATGTTTCCATGTACATTTCCATCCTACACCATTTCTTCTTTGAGATGAGTTGATAAAAACTGCATGAAGTATTCAAACATAGGCACATCCCTGATGTATAGTATCATTCAATATTTTCCTCTTTCTCTGTTAAACCTTTTCTCATCAATCTTAACATTCTCTTGGCTTTACTCACAAGCTAAGCACTGAACTTGTATGTTCTGGTTGCTTTTTGGCTCTTGTTTTCATGTGCATTACTCTTCATTTATCAACATTAAATTTTATCATGTTACATAAAGATATTTAGAGCATAGATAGGCCCCTTCAAAAGGCAAACGATCCATCCTAAAGTAGCACTCTAATTGAAGCCAAAGAAGTTGCCCAGTATCATTCTGGGTTTCACTTTCACAGACTCATTTCCCTTAGCATTTTGCTAACTGCCACTGTCACTATTTTGACCGAGTGACTGGTAATGGATTCCTTGTATTAACAGTCTTCCTCTTTAGCCGTTGGAGCCTTTATCAGGGGAGACTCTACAAGACATATTCATAGATGTCATTGTCTATATGCTTTCTTCTAAGCTTCTCTACGTTTGAGATGCCTCTTACAGCAACAGCATAATTTTAAAGCAACCGTTCAGTTAATCCATCACAGTTTTAGACCAAAAAACTTCTGAAGAAATGCTATGACATTTATTTGTGGCCAGTTGCCTGTTTTCTTTTTTCATGCACCATACTGGGACATTTTTATTTGTCTGTTATTTGCTATTTTTTCTTTAAACTCAGTGTCCATCTTTGTAATTTCATTTGTAAAGATCCCAGTTACTTTTAGGCAGCTTATTGGTACCACAATTAACGCCAGTCTATGTCAGACTACAGGGCATTACAGGGAAAGGTCTTCAGGGACTTTCCCACATCTTCTAATGTATTTTGATCATGTGTACAGTCTCCACTTGTGATTGGGGAACCTTCTTATTATACAGTACAACCAAACAAAGCAAAAATAGTACATTCCTAAAAGGCCTCTGTGAGTACATTTCTTTATAAAGATTGTGTAGGAGGGCAATAGAACAAAATTTGGTACGTTGCTATTCTGAGGAATAATCAGCGTATCCGAGACAAGCATCCAAACATCTCTCAAAAACACTGTAAGGGATATACATGTCACTTATGGCATACCTCACTGTTTATCACAGTATTTCAAATCCCTTACAAGGTCATGAATGTTCTCTTAAGTTGCTAGTATTTAATTATAAGAAAAATAAATACATGCTCATTGTTTTATTTTCATAGATAACAAGACCTTTTCATAACACTGATACAACCTCTGTAGTTGAGCCAACTGTTGGGGCTAAAAGGGAACAAAAGTAGGTACTGCATTTCTTTGTGTAGTGTTTTTTTACGCAGGTCTATACAGTGTGGCACAATAGATGATTTCCAAGGTTCGGAGATGTCAACCTTATAAGCTTAATAAATTGAACTATCTTTATGCTGTTTCTGAGGTGTTGTATTTAAACAAAAAATTTCATCCCACATTTGACACGTACGTCTCATATGTACTGAGGTTTAAATCTGTCTCAGATTTAAACTCTGTTTTTGACCCACTGGCCATGTTTGGCTATCCTGGTTATAAAAAATGAGAAAATGAATGTAAAGTTGTCCTTCCTTCACCAAGAAAAAAAAAAAAAGAAAAAATGGAATCATGAGGCAAAATTAATCACTGTCTACATCAACTATGATGCAGGAGATATCTGTGCATTAAAAGAGATGAGCCATATTGAAGATTCCAAGGTTAAATGAGTTTATTGAGTTAGTGGTTACAATGGCATGTCAGATACCTGTAATCCAAGCTACACCTACATATTTGCCTCTAAATTCTCACACTGTCAGTTTCCGTGTCTCTAAACATTCCACCACCAGGTCTTTTATTACTAATATTATAATAATAATCATAATAATAATCATAATATAAAAGGCAATGTCAATCACCATATTGTGCTTCATACTCCACCATAAGGAATTTAATTGGCAAAAGTAAACCTCTGGTCATATTAATGGGATTAATTGAAATGTGAGCAGTCATAACACTACTAGAATATAAAGAACAAAATATGGTTTAAAAGAAGCATTTTTAAGATGAATTAGTTTGTATCTGTTTTAAAAATCCACATACTATAATGAAGATGACTTAAAAGTTATATCATTTAATTATTGGGCCACACATTTAAGCATATTGGCTAGTACATTTTTGCACTGGAACAGAAGCAATACAAGCTTTATGGTCTACCATTACAATTCCATTTTTTTTCACTTAATATACCTGCCAACCTAATGTTTCTTGCATGCATAAAAATTTCTGGGTTTAGACTTGAATTTATTATTTAACCCACACGTACCCCTGTGATGCAAATTCTTTGGCCAATTCAATGCTATAGTTTAGTTTAAAAAGTAAGCTTGGAATAAGTCCCTTTAACATCAGAAGAGAATGCCCTAAATTTTGGCATTGCAGAAAGTTAGTTACTTCAACAGAGTCTCAGGTTGCATGCAAATTGACACTGCTTCCCCCCACCCCATGCCAGACGCATACAAGTCGGCAGGTATGCATACAAAAAGAATATAAAACCCTCCTGGTAAAGCTTAGTGTTTTAGAACGAATCCATAGCTTTAAATTCACTTAAGGCCTGTACAGGGGAAATATGTTTCTTCTGGGACCCTCTTCTCACTCTTGTCTGATATTCTTCTGGTTTTTCTCTCTTTACTAGAGGTTTCTTCTCAGGGGCCTTCATCTTCCAAGATACAACTGGGGAGTTCACTGCAGCAGTGCCATAGACCTTCTGATATTTAGTAGAAGCCACATAAGATGCTTTCACTGTAAGGACCACAGCGTTCATCAGATTTTTAGCTGCCTGGATGAGAGAAGTGGCACTGTCCAGCTAGAAATAGAAAAGAAAATGAAATACAGCAAGGTTAGTCCACGACTGGATCACTGGGCCATTTCCTGACTGAAGTCTGGATACTCTCCGATCTCATTAAAGATTAAATGAATCCTCTCCCTCAGGATTAATCAAGTAGCTTGTAGTAACAAGCACCAGCAACAACATGCACCGAACTGTAAAGGTAAGACTGTGGTACCTCACATTAAATTTTTTAATAATTCAAAGGCAAAGCTTGTGTTGGCTGTTTTTTTGTTGTTGATTCTTTTTCTATGGGTGAAGAAGTTGCCTGTTTTTTCACAAAAAACATGACTTCTCACTTAAACCTTTAAAAATTTACTTTTACGTGTCAGAAACCGCAAAACAGGTCAACGGATTTTTTCAAGTATTCAAGTTTGTTCTAATTATTCCTATTAAGCCCAGGATAACACCCCCAAAGATGTCTACAGGAACAGCGTGAGGCCAGTGCTGAGCTTGTTAGAGAATCCCACCTGAAAAGATGAAAGGAGATTTTGAAACCCCTAAAGAAATAAAAAGCTGAAACAGTTAACTGCAGGTTTTTGTAGCTACTGTAATATTTGAGCTACTTATGTTCACAAGGAATCTTACTTTATGATTAGCAGGCTTTTCGTACATATACCGCTGTGTTTCTCCCACGCACGAGTCTGCCTGAGGTTCCTGGGTCCTCTGGATGTAAGAGGCCTTAAGAACTTGTTGAACTTCAAACCATTGGGACTTCCAGTCAACAAGCTTCCATCATACACTGAAATCAAGCACATATTCCTGGCCAAATTTTTCAAAAGGATTTAAGCATATAATGGGACTTCCAAAGCAATGTCTCAATGTTCCAAAACGCAAATTAGGCACTTGCCAAATCCAGCTGGACATCCTCAAATTAGTAGGTGCTAAAAATATGCTTTTAAGTACTGTAGCAATCCAGGTTACTATTTAGGATGTTCGGTTATTCCTCTCCCAAAATACTGAAGAAGCGGGATATACTCTTTGTGATAAAGCCTTTCAGTTCTACCATGGAAGCTGCGTCAATTTTTTATAAGTTTTTCCCAGTTTGTAGGAACGATTTTGGATGTAATATTATTTTAACTCTTTAATTCCACCCCTCTTGCTCAGTAAGATCTTCGCTATTTTCAATTAGTATAAAAGGCCTGTCTCTCTCCAAACCTTTCCTGCTCCATATTTTGGGAGCATGTGATTCCTTAACATGAATTCTAGGCAAAGTAACCAGGATAAATACTCATAAGGCGATAACAAAAACCATATTGTACTTCACCTCAAGTATTTTGAATCATTAACGGAAGAAGAGCTCAGGATAAACCTCTTTCTGAAGTGTCAGTGACTGATGTGAACGAGAATAGACATTACAGAAAGCCTGTGTCTGCAACCACATTCATCTATAGACTTACCTATTATTTTTTTATTTCCTCAGCTGTGGCCTTGTACTCATTATGATTCATTAAATACATAAACAGCTACATACAGTGAGGTGAAAAACAAAAAAGCATTTTAATGATTTTCACGTACTTGGTGCCATTCCCTGAAATGCATAGTTAATTGCCTCCCCCCAGTAAATATTGTTCCTCAGGACTAATTTGTATTTTTTGTTAGTAAAAGAAACTAAGTTAAAAGATGGAAAATTGCATTATATGGCAGAAACATGACTGTTCAATAGGGAGTAATGAAATATAATTCAGCATAGTGTTATTCTATAACCCCACTACTGCATGATTTATAAGGCAATCTGTATGTTTGTTGGCAACCAACAGATCATACTCTATTAAATTAGGATATTCTAATTTACTGCAGAGGTTTACAGTCAAGCATTATTCATTGTTAAATGATTCTTTTTGAAACACTGGTGGATTGATATTGAATATAAAGTGATACCGTCAAATAGTATTTATTTCATAATCAATGTGGATAAACTGACTGGATCAGCCTATATTGCACATTCCTGAATGAATTCTATTTGTTGAAGGTTTCTAATAGCCTTGTTGAAGGTTTCTAATAGCCTCACATTTTCCAGCGTTTCTTTATGAAAAGAGTTCTGGTAGCTATTTTACATGGGGCATATATTAAGGAACAGAATGATTAAAGGAAGCATTTTGAAATGAGGAGGCACCTAAATTAGATGCTTAAAACCGTACAAAGGATGCAATCTACATCTTTAAACACATTAGTAATTTTATGGAGTATATCGATAAAGGTGTGCAGAAGCATGTAATTCTGCAAGATTGGATGCGGATTGCAACAATGTCTTTTAGAAAACCACGTTACATATTTTGATGTCATTTTAATTACCCCTAGTTTCAATCTGCTGTTATAGTAGATAAGAGCTCCCTATTTTCACCATTATTAATCACATTTTAACATGCAGTTACTTAGTCCTTGCCCTTAATATCCATTCATATTGTAAAATGCTTTCAAGTCTTGAAATCAGAAAAGAGACATAAAAACCCCATAATAGTATTAGGCTATGAGTGTTCTCCAAAATCTGCTGGTAGCCATCCCATGTATCCAATTTGGCTACCCAAGCACTTCCAGTGATTTTCTTATTGCCTCCAGCTCCCTGCTTGTATTATGGCTCAGTAAAGAAGAATTAAACTGAACGAACATAATTTCAATTAACATTTAGATCTTACACCACTGTGTTACTTCAGTTTTAAGCTGTGCTTTGTAATCAGCAGAGCTACAGTGGCGTAAGCTGGAACAAAGACAGCAGTGAATCACGCCCTTAGTGAATTAATTCCTTACAAAATCTGGGCACAGAAACATGTGCACTTTTAAAAACAGATAACATTAATAATAAAAAAAAAAGAAGGAGGAAAATTTACATTTCAAATAAAAGTACCACTAGGAAATTATTGCACAGTACAGAAGGCAAACTTCACTCCCTAGCAATGGCTAGGGAATTATGAATATAACGATAGCTTTTCATGCTAACAGAGCCTTTGACTTGCTACACAAAGTAATAGTGTTCTGCTACTTAGATCTCTTTACAAATACATTTGCCTCCATTTAGGAAAAAAAGCCCTCTTAAACATAAGAGATAAATTTAGGTTATTGCCCATAAAACTCCAAGAACAGAGAATGCTGGTGAAAATTCAAAATCCATAAAGAACCTAAGAATCACTGTACTGGAGCCAGTCACCTATCCAGGTTAAAATTGCCATCTACCCAGGGAAGGCATAAATCATTCAGAAAAAAACAAAACAAAACAAAAAAAGGTTTTGCTATAAGCTAACTTTATAATTAGTGAATGCAAGTGTAGAACACTGGAGCAGCAGAGCTTATTATCTGCCAAGCAGATAATTTCAGGGGGTTTCCCCCAAAAAAATCCATAAGGCTTTAATGAGTTTTTGATCTGCTTATAAGCTGTGCAGCATTTTTCCTGCACTACATGCAGAATTTTCCAGAATCTTGTGACAATCAAGATTTCTTGCTTCTTTTACACATACACATAAACTAAGTAAAATAACCAGCAATAACAATACCAAAAGAGCTGAAGAAGCGGGAGAGAATAAAGCTGGAAAATTTTCTCCTTAACAGTAAAGCAAATGAAAAGAGATGTTCTCCCTGCATTGTTACACCACTGTAATGGGGAAAAATTACACCACAGTTTTTAGAAAGAAGCAAATTTAATTTCCAGAGATTTCTTCATATTTATAATCAGAATCATACTACACAGAATCAACCAAAAAAAATAAAGGAAAAAAAAAAAAAACGCCCCTGTATTTCCAGCGAGCAAGGCTATAGTATAGGTAATTTTGAAAGAGATGGTTGTTTAAGAATGTTCTATATCATTATTGTTGATTTTAAAAACCCTCGAAAATGGGGGGAAGACATCAAAAGAATTGTAGATAGTTCCTAGTCTGGAAATATTTCAGCAGCACAAATAGAATGACCTGTGAAATTATAGGCCAGTTCAGCTGACAGCACTCCCAAATAAAATAATGCAATGTCTATGACAGACTCCATAAATAAAGGGAGGAAAGAAATACAGTTAATGGTAACCAAATAGTTTTGTGGGTAAAAATATTTTCAAAGTAACCTAAATCATATTTTCATGTGATTAAACTTTGGATTGCTTAAGATAATGCTGTTGATATAACTGGACCTTTGAAAGGTGTTTTGCTTGGTACTACATGACAGTTCGATTAAAAACTCAGCTGATAGAAAATTAACAAGGCACATAGCAAATAATTCCAAATTCTCTAATAGCTAAGTTTCCAAAAGTATGTATGCACAAAAAAATCATTGCTAAACAGTGACTTTTGCAGCGTGCTCTTGGAGAAACCATTTGTCAGCTTTACAATATTAATTTTTATGTTAAAAATTTGGAAAAAAGTCACTTAACTGATGAAATTTGCAGATAACAATTGGGAAAGTGGTAAGTCATAAGAGGGCAAGTGATTGACACCTAATAAGCTGGTAAAAGTCAGAAATGTAGATTTCAGTGTGGCCAACTTTACAGCAGATGACACTTACTTATACAATAAGGAATTTTATCCTATGCAGGATCCTAAGCAATCACTCCCTGAGTATACAAAAAGGAGGACACCGATGAAATAGGTTAAATTATCATATTCAGTTTATCGTGTGTCCACAGTTATGGAATACTGAGTCCTCTTCTCAATGCAACAACACTGAGGAATTGGAAAGAATTTAAAGAACCTCAAGAAAAAAAAACATCTTTTATGGGGAAGATTCAGTCAGCTCTGTTTTTTCCATTAATGAAGCGAATGATTAAAAAATTAGTTGATTGAAATCAGCAAGTACATAGTAACAGAACGCTGATAATATTTCAAGTTCAAAAGATTAGACAAAGATATAACAGAACTTAATAGCTGAAAGGTGAATCAGGTCATTTTAGTTATTAATTAGCTGAAAATTTTTAGCAGTGATTTAATTAATCACAAGAACTCATGAAAGATAGTGATTCTATCTCTAGAAATTGTGAAATCAATATTGGACTTTTTTTGCTT